CGCCTCTGCAGGCGGTTGGTCTCTTTGTCTCTGCTCACGGAATAGCATTAAAAGCTTTTGAGCCTTCTCTTTTCCTCTTGATGTACCATTCACAGAAATCGACACCAATGCAGGTATCACCCCTTCCTTTAGGACCATCTGACTGCATTTATCATTCCCATTACACAACAAAAAGAGACATGAGACAGCTTGCTCCTGCTCAATGGGTTCATCAGCCTCCAAAATTGTTGCTAGCGCACTGATAAGACCCGAATTTGATATCATTTCATCTCTTGCAGAGCTACTCGAAGCCAAATTTATCAAAACAGCTGTACATTTTTCTGTCCATGTAAGGTCACCAGAGTTCGCAAGAAGGGTTTGGAGACCACTGATAATACCAGCTGAAAGTAGATTTGGAATATTTGATGGAATGCCAGAAAGGTTGTATAGGGCATGGAGGGCATCCAGCTTGCATTGGATTTCAATATTGGCTTGAAGGAGCTGGGTTAAGAAAGGGACAGCAGGGCTTGTGCCAACTATGTGCTTGGCTTCTTCAAGGCAGGAGAGATTCAGATAGAGGGCTGTCGCAGGTCCATGAGAACTGGGATTGGAGATCATTTCCTCTAGCAATGAAATTACTCCTGATGCTAACATCGTTTCTTTGTTTCTGGAGGAAAAAAATAAAGAATCGATAAATTTCCAAGTTTTTAGTCCAAGAATAAGAGCTGAGAGACAACACATTATCCTCTCGACCCATGATGCAATGGAAATATCAACACATAAAAATTAATCGCTATGTTGCACCCATTTCCCAGAAAATTTCTTAACATTAGTGAGCCATATTTTGATTCTTAATAGACCTCTGACCTTTTCCAGACATTTAGCAGACCACATAATCGCAATTTAATTCAAAATTAAAATATTATCAAACATAGCCTGTGGTCACATCGGATTCGTATAAAATCTGGAAATTTTATTGAACTATACCTGTTATTATTGACAGCAAGATTGAAGAGAGCCATGGCTCCACTTTCCTGAGCTAAAACATTTGCTTCACGCACTGCTGATTTCAGAAAGCATAGAAGTGCTTCAACAAACCCATTAGCACCCATATACATCCTGGCCTCCTCATCATCCTTCAGCAAGAACCTTAATTGCTCCACGACCTTGCACTTCTTCCTGAAGTCTGCACCTTCATTTAAGACAGTTAAAAGACCCTGATAACTTTCAAAAGCATCAAGCTCAGACTCTTCCTCCACCGGAGACACGTCTTCTGTTTCATTCCCAACAGCTTCATCTATTGTGCCACTCTCCTCTAAAGGAACCACCTTGACACCTTTCAACTTGCAAGAGCCAACACTACCCATAGATTTTGAATTAGTAGACTCAGACTCAGACAACGCAAGCCTCCAATAGTTGAGGTCAAGAGACTCCGGGGGACCATCAGGAACAGAAATTCCATTCTGTTCGCACCAACTAGCAATGAGACCCTTGACACAGTAATTGGGAGTTAAAGAAAGATGAGACAACTTCTGTTGAGTCTTTGGGCAGGTATTATGCCCATCGCTGAACCATTTCTCAATGCAAATCCTTTCATAGGTCTGACCAGAAGCAATGATGACCGGATCATACATAAGCTGCAGTGATATAGGACACCTCAACTCTTCAGGTGGAAGAGGCATCTGACCTGACCTCCGATTGTTTGGCTTGGAATTAAAAGAACTCTTGAAATTAAAAGAACCAAGTTTTGACAGTTGTCGGTCAAATGCATGACCATTGCCCCCAGGTGCAGCATCCTCAATTGAACCCTGAATAGTGGGAGAACAAGGTGCGGAACCCTGTGAATCATTGTCGTCTGAGATTTCACTTCTAAACAACTTGGAGTATTTTCTCATAAGATGTAATAGATAAGCCACAATTGATTCTTTCCGCTTGTCTTCCTCAGCACGGGCTCTTTGGATGAGTTTCTTTAGAGCTCTTCTCTCAGTAAGAGCTGCCCTAGAAGAGGTAATACCAAGTTTGATAGCAGCCTGATGAAAAGATTCCAGCTCATTATTGTCATTACAGTTGTCAAACTTTCTCCCTTGTTGGAGGAGTGCAATTATTTCATCACCAACTTGCTTCTCTGATGGATCAAGTGAGAAGACAGTACCCTCAAGTTCACTAACAATCTCTTCAATCTGAAACAAGTTCAACACTAAATGATGTTAAGAACACATATAAGTGATATACACAAGTGTAATAGCAAGAGAAAACCACAAGACACGATCACCAAGGAATTATAGCATCACCAGTTAATTTCAAACAATTTCTATTAAGAAAACATAAAGTTATATGGAAAGAAAGATGCCTTGTATTGTAAAGCACCAAATTAACAAATATAGGCATGCACCAGGACCAGTAAATGGGTTATACAATTGTGCAGCACTAAACCAGTTCGCCCAAGATAACAAAAGGCTGGACATGACCAAGTTTCATTGTAGGGAACCACATGCAATCAGATTAGACTTCAACCTCTAGTAGGTCATGAACGGATGAACCATGAGGTCCATGATAACCAACACAGGAAAATAGTGAATGACCATATAAGAACCACACTGAATAATAGAGAAAGCTTCCGGTAAATTCCTAGGTTAGAATATGGGGGAGAAACAAACCACATTAATAATACCTCAACCCTTTGGTGGACCATTGGGATTCACAGTAACCTTCTACTGAAAATTACTGGTCAGACGTTCAGCAATCAAAGTAAATTTCCTATTATGCATTTCAAAAATGAGGCAGTTTGGAGTTTAAGACTTTGTTAAAAGGTCAGAAACCAGAAAAGCGATTCATGGACCTCAAACGCCAAGTCATGACATTCCAAGACCCTATCAAGTTGACTCAACAATCACAACTAGATGTATAAGTATAACGGTAACTCCGTGCTTGCGTCTACTCGCTAAGAGCAAAGTTGTGGAAACTATCTTCACCAGGGCATGCACAATAATGAATTATGATATAAAAAGCATTCAACTGAAATTACCAACGACCACCTCAAAAAATAATTACCTGACAACCAATAGATTGTGGAACAATATCTTCAACACGCCTAAGACTATCCATGAGAGCACATCTTGCCTTCTCAAATTTCAAGAGCACAGAATCCCCAGTTATAGCCTGAATGATAAAAAGTAAGTTCTCCGTTATACACACAATATACTAATTCACAACCTCATCTAGAATGGAAACAAATTTAGACAACAAACGAGAAATCTATTCCTCTATGGTACAAGGGGAAAGTCTACTTGACGTTTCTGGGGATGGGAGTAACAACTACTGAATAAATTACCAACGCAATATTGAGGAAAAACCTACCAAGTAAAGTTTACTACATTCGGAGCAATGCTGAAGAACATTCTTAGCCTTTTCAAGTGCTACATGCAATGAACATAAAGCTTGGATGCCCGATTTGCTCCTAGGTCGAGCTGCTTCCAAAGAAGGAAAAATTGACATTACTCTGCAATAAATCGCAGAGAGTTCCTTGCACAGTTCTCCATGCAGCTGCAGAAGGAAACAAAGGTGATCAATTATATACACTGATACAACCATATGACAGAATACAGACTTTCAAAAGGTTAGAAATGGGGGATCCATGCTGGTAAATTTTCCAAAAAGAATATGCAAGCCAGCTTCGAAAAGAATATACACAACTACCTATATGTATATAAGCACACGACCAAATTCTCACCAAAACCTTGTACTCTCACAATGACTTCAAACTTCTCTGATTCCAAATTTTTACCAATCTTATAACCGAATAAATAAGTTTGATAGATGCAACTACACCCTCCCGAGGAATGGCATGGACCCGGAGTATATGTAAGAAAAACCCATAAACTAAAATAACTGTCTTAAGTTAACTAACAATTCCTAGCTAGCATTACCTACGTAGTCCAGGAACTTGGGTGATTAACAGTTCACACACGTAATTTCAGGAAACACATAGGAAGTCAGCAAATATAAATGTTGAAAAAAACAAAGTTATGTTGAGTTTGAAATATTTTGCAAAAAAAAAAAAAAACAATACCAGTCATTAAATGTATTGCCACCCATATCTCATTCATACCTTGGCATCGCTGGCAGCAAATAAACTTTCTTCAACCTCAGTAAGATCCATGATTCAAGCTCACTTTGATAACTATGATGAAAGTTTATACATCTGCATTGCCGAAAAAGACAGTAAAACAGAATTAGCAAAGGCATAAAGGAAGCTTCTCATTAAATGTCTAGAGCATTAAACATAAATAAGCCAAAATTCTACAACTAAGTTTAAATTTTGGCTGCATCGACTAAATAGGCATGGCAGTGAAAATAACACAGTGCACTGTTGGATTTCTTTGGAAACTGAGGATTAAACGAAAACAGAAATAAGCATAAGCATCTAACTTGTACTTCATTTTTCCAGGTTTTCAATGATTGAGTGAAAAATCAAAAAGTGGCAATAGAGAAGAAGCCTCCACTGAGGCAATTAATTGTAATATCCCCACCCATTCATTCCTTGGGATTGGAATATTTATTAAGTAAATCCCATATTTGGAACACTCACTTTCTCAGAAACCAAACAGA